CACTCTTTTTTAAAGCTTGTGTTGTACATCGATATGATTTTACTCGCTTTTTTGCAGTCGATTTTTTTTTTTACACTAATGACAGAATCGAGTGACATTCGCGACTTCGGGACCCGATTAATTGTGAGAGGTACTTTTTACTTCCGTGATTATGGTTTTAATATGTGTAAATATTATCACTTTTCACCACATATAAATCTGTGTAAAATAACTTCGGGGATTATCACTCCTCAGTAAATTCTATTGGGTCGGATTTTAACAGGGAGTTTATGTCCCTCAAAATTGCTAACGTTCGAGACTTTAATTAGTTAACTCCAATTTAGTTGAAAGGTTGACACGGTCATCATTGTTCCAGATATCTGCCATGACTTCCCTCATTACATCAAACATTGAAAATTAATTCATTGCTACTCACTTCAGGAAAAATGAACCCACAAAGTTGAACATTATCTAATGGTCCATATTTTTAGGAACCTGCCCTCAGCTCAGGAGCGCGCATAGGGCACTTTGCCTTGAAATGCCTACGCTATTTATTAAATAAATTCGATGTTGACAATCACACGAGGGACCTTGTTAATTGTCACAAATGCCTATATTAAAGTATAAGGAATCTAGTTATTTTCACTTTCACTCAATCTCCCTGTGTTATTTAATATGTTTATTAGCTGATAAACCTCACCATAATGGGTGCAAGAATATTCACTGTGTACACGAGTGGTATGGCCAGGCAGCAAGGCGTGCTTTCCGATTAGTTCCCGGCTAACAGTGAAACCATTCATTGGCAACTCCGTGTCACGTCGGGTTTTGGTACTGTCACTGGAAATTTCACCTTTTGGGGTGTCCGCCCTTCGGTAGTATGACGGCCCTGTAAGGCTACGGTGGGCCTAAATCTCCAGAACCTATGGTGAGTGTCTATTCGAAATTTTGTTAGCCGGAGTATTTTGCTGCGTGTATTTTAGTGTTGTGCTGAAGTCATGTACTTTTGGGCCGCCATTGCTGCATGGATGTACCGCTAGTACTATTACTTAGTGTGAATTATTATTATTATTTTTTTGTATCACCTGTCACAGGTTGGCTCTCGATTGCCATAGTCGAAACCTGTGCCGGTTCAATAAATTGTTTTACAAGGAAAATCTGCTCAAAAGAATCCAAAAGGACAGCTTCTTATGTTGATCCTCAAATAATCTTATTGCATGAATACACTAAAAATACAATCACTCAAAGTACACGGCAACATACAAGAAATACCAACAATGGAT